GGGCGGGGGGTGGGGGTCGGCTCTACAAGTTTAAACAGAGTCCCGGGGGCAAAAGTCGCCGGGAGTCTGTTTAAACAGCCCCGATGCTGGCGACGTACACTGTACGTCGTCAGTCACGAAGGGGTTCAACAAAAAGGGACTTTTGCTCTGGAGTACCAAATTGCTAATCATATTTGTAGAGACCTCATTGTACCTTTTCTTGTTAAAGGCAGTGGTACGGTCACAGTAATGCAATAACGCTGATTTGTACCTGAAAACCTTTTAGTCAACCGCACAATAAACTAATGTGAAAGCCAATTCTCAAATATTAGCACACAGGTTGAAACGGAGACCCTGTCAGGCCACCCATCTGCTCCCTGCAACAGAAGAGGTAGTATAGTCACCTCTCCGGCAGCCCATGTCTCCTACCTTCCCCTATTTCAGTGCTGCAACTTCTAAAAACCTGCCTTCAGCATTGACCATTTCTGGGATTTTTAGATGCCTGTGACACCTAGATTACCACTGGGGCTAGTGATACATGTTTAGACGTCTGTCATTCAGCCCTGTGTGCTAAACCAGAGAAATCACTCAGTTCCCCATTCATGCCAAACAGCATGGATGAGGAGGCATTCCCAGTCGCCTATTGTATTTACACAGCCGGCACTTGCGACTGTCTGAATACCCTAAAAGTGACTGTATCTGATTTAGAGGACATTTGAGCCATGTGTGGCTAACCTTAGACCTGTAGAAACCTAGGGTGTCGAGGAAGGAAGCACAGAAAAGGAACACAAGCATCTAGTAAACCCAGAAGAGTTACAGGAGAACTATGAGGTGAATGATTTTTACTCAACCTCATAGTTCGAGCCGACGTGTGACAATGAAACTGTCACACATCGGCTCAATAGATCGGGAAATGAGCGAACACATACCGTTGTTCACTCACTTCTCGCCACTCCCAGCAGGGATTCCCCCCTCCCCCCCAGCGCTGACTGACTGACTTTAGATAGGCAGAGCCAGCTGTCAATCACGGAGCTGGGTGGATCTCGACAGCATTGTCGGGATCCGTCCCGGCTGCGACGGTCTCAGTATACAGCGAGCTGTAGCTTGCGATGTACTGAGCTTTGGGTCACGGGAGGATGCTAGTATATGTCCTCCTGTGACCCTTAGGAGAACTATGGGGAAAAACTCTTACCCCCATAGTTCTCCTTTAAATTCTGCTGGAATGGAGAAGAAGAAGACACAAGCTGTCAGAGGGGGGTGGACGGGGAGGGGGACAATACTCTGTCATAGAAATATGTCTTGCAGTAGTGCAAAAAAAAAATGGTGTATAGGAATCAAGTCTCCATCCTGACAGATCTTTCACAAGCATCTCTCCTGTGAAGTGGCAGAGTTGTAAAGGCAGAAAGTCCATTTGGAAAAGACGTGCGAGTAATAAAAACAGATCAAATATCACTTCCAGAGAAACGTCACACTGGCCGCACACTAAAACACACTAGTGGTCACTGCATGCACGCCATGATTACCTTTTATTTTTAAAGTTTACTGAAAAGTCAAAGTGACATTTAATTAGTTCCAATGACTGAAAATGGATGGCGACTTCAGACAGGGGTGCAAGATTCCTATGGCCTTGACGCCCAAACATGAAGTTCCAGGAACCGGGAAGGCGTTTTGTAATTTTCTACATTCAGCCCTGCTATGGACAAGCTGGGTTAAACGTGCAGCAGGGGAGCCGCCTCTCATTTTGTACAAGTGATTTGGGTGGCTGTAGCCATGTGCTATGGATTTGGAATTTCGCTAACAAATAGTAAGCACTCATTGGTCAGCGTGGTCACCTGACCAATGAGAAGCACTAAACGCAGTTATTTACATTTTGGTACTCGCCTGTACAGATACCCGTACTTCCGCTAGCACGGCGCAGGCTACCTAGCCAATCAGAAAGCCGGGCCGTGTGTCATTACCCGCTGCCTGGCTTCTTGATTGCACGGTAAGCCAGCTCCATGCTGTTTGGCCAGGAAGGCTGCTTCCGAGCCAATCAGCATTGAGCCAGTTGTTTGGGCAAGTCATCAAGCCGGCTCCATGTTCCCTTGGGGCACTGCAAGTCAGAGGAAATCTCTCTAACCGGAGGTTCCAGTATCGGGGGTAAGTATCGGAGCATTTGGAAGTGTACTTGCCCAAATGCTCGGTATCAGTGCATCCCCAGGGTTGGAATATATAATTGATTGTGTCACATGTGAAATTGTGTTATCTTTGGTTGCCTGTTCACACTATGTGGTGACTGGCTTAGTTCTACAATTGATCCCACCGTTCACTACAAGGGAGCAATTATCTGTTCACATTGCAGCGCTGCCTTTAGATGGGTTTCAGGGAGTTGCTGGTAAATGCAGATAATCTGAATTCTGCAGCGCACAGCAGCTCACCCTTACAGGGATGTGGAAGTTTAAAAAAACACTACTTGTCCAAGGACTAAAGTGTGGGGGGCGCAGTCTACTTCTCCCTTATGACAATCTACTAGTCGTGGTTCAAGACATTTTTTGTACCAAAAAGATAAATATCGGTACCTGATACTGAAAAAAAAAACGTATTGGTGCCTCCCTATCCAACCCAGGTATAGAAGAGTTCTTGTTGCGGTATTTATCGCAACAAGCACCATGCTGTAAGAGTATCACAAATAAGAGCTACTTGAAATGGTTGCCTATGTCGCTTGTAACAATGAAAATGTTGCCAGGTTTTTATGAACCTGGCACAAGGCTTCCGACTACATCCAACCCCCCAAGAAAGTGTTGCTTAATCTGACCAAACATAGCCTAAATTTGGAGCAGCGTGAGTGCCCCCCCGTCCCCCTCGGGAGCCCCCTATTTTTAATCGGCTTTTGTCTACAGAGCCGGTCTGAACTGCTGCCAATCAGCTGCTTATGTATTCTGACAGCAACGCACCCACCACTGTCAGAATACAACAGGGGAATGATTCCCCTATTTGTGCTGTTAAGCGTGAATGGGGGACACAGCCCTCAATCCCCATTCACACCTTTGCATATCTGTAAGCGTGCACCAAAAACACGCAATGCACTTGCAGTACCTTTACTTGTTAATGGCATCCCAAAACATGGCCAGGAAAATGCACGCTTTTCCCCCACGCACCGACACACGTTAAACGTGCACAAATGCATAGTGAAAAGACAGTACTCCTGCAGCAGAATCTGCTGCATAAGCTACTTTCATGCGTTTGTTGCGCATGCAACAACCATTGAAATAAATGGGTGACGCACAGCAAACACGCAAAAATGCAACACGCATTCACGGAACAGGCAACACGCATTCACAGAACAGAGGTGTGAACAGGGCTGAACAAGAAAAAAAAACCAAGAAGTGTATATCCAGTTTTACCCCCCCCATATACTATGTCTTCTGACAGGTTTCTATCTTCAGAGACATGACATGAAGTTTCAGTAGGTGTGCAGTGAAGAGAGCAGGAACAACATTTATGAGTAAATAACGTTGTGAACAGAACATACTGAGGTAAAGAAAAGTAATGGTGTTCGATATCAGTGAATGGCGCCCAGTAATGAAGATTACACGATGGGGATTCCTGGGGAACGTCCTCTCCCTCCATCTAAAGCACACATCTCCTCTCCTCCGCATGTCAATGACTATTACCGCTCCGAGGTCATCTCCCTGACAGAAGTCCTGCTTCGCCATTTTTATGCTGAAGCGGCGGTAATCCCCCCTCATAGCCGGGAATGTCCTCCACCTCAGCGCGGCCTGTCTCTTACCTAGAGCGGGAGCTACGCAACCCGAGCGGCTCCGGCTCCGCACAGTGCCCGGCAATCACAGCGGGGTGGAAGCGGCTGTGTGTCTTTCTCGGTACGGAAAGGGTCTCTCGGTGGCTCCGATACCGCACGGACTCTCTTATAAAACACTATATTCTTTCGCGCTCTTCTTGTTTTCCCCGTTCTCTCCCTCCGCGCTCTTCTTTCTCTGCTTCCCCGACACAAAATGGCGGCGGAGGAGGAAATGACTGAGAAGCCAGCCTCCATGTTAGACACAAACACACCCCCCGGAGCTCTCACACCCTGACAACAGCGTGCAGGGCTCTGGCCTTCTTCTGCAATGTGTGACTGACCAGATCCAAAGTCAACCTGTCCTGACAGGAATACCGGTGTAGAACAATGCTATCTGTTCTAGTGACCCGGTGACTTCAGAGCTCACAGAGCCAGAATAAGTATGAGAATGGTCAGAAGTATATTACTTCTTTGCTGTTTCTGTTTTGGGCCAGCAATTCAGAGATTCGGATCCCATCCACAAGGGCGTACAGAGCCAAGCAGCATGCATGTCCGTGCAGAAACTTGCACCCCAGAGTAAAGCTGACAATACACTAATATTTCCTTTGTTTAACCTACAGGCTGAATGAAGAATATAACACAGATTCCGCTGTTGATCGAAGAATCTCCCGCTGTCTGCCTTGTATAATGACAGTAGCCTGTCGGCCTCTGACAGCTCATTGGCTGCCGAATGTGTTTGTTCGAAGATTTTCCAACTGGCTTCCTTCATCGAGGGCGGCCGGCCAAAAGGGTTCATCAAGAACTGGCAAAAATTCACATAGTGTATGGCCAGCTTAACAGCTAGTGTAGGGTGACTGTTCGCCCCTGATTTACGGGGACCATACCCGGATTGAGGAGACTGTCCCCGGGCAAATTATGTCCCCGGGAACATAAAATAATTTTTTTTTTTACTCACCTGGTCCCTGGATCCACCGACGAGCGCAGCCTCCCGTCTCCCACGCTGTCAGAAGCTGCATACAGTGAGCACTAGTTACTATTTAAACAATTCCACATGCAAACAGCAAAGAAAGTAAAAACACCTATGGAACCAGGCTACCGAAAGAGCAATGAATCAGAAAACTTGATACCCAACAATGACACGCACCACAGAGCAATCAGAAAACTAGTATACATTGCCACTGTCACAAGACCAGACATAGCAGCAGCAGTGGGCATACTCGCTTGACAAGACGCAGCACCCTGTCAGCGTGACTGGAGTGCAGGAGAGGGTAATACAATACTTAAAAGGAACAATTCGGATGAAGCTACAACTGCCAGCAGTGTCAAATCCAAAACTAGTTGGCTATGTCAATGCTGATTGGGCCGGAGACTGCACAGACCGCAAATCCTCAAGTGGTTACATCTTCCAATCAGGCCCGGCGCTACCGCAAGGCAAGTCAGGCGGCCGCCTGAGGGCGCTGCAGGGCGAGGGTGGAAAAAACAGGGCATTTTGACAAGTACTTGTCAAAATGCCCCTATGTTTGCGCTATGGTTTTTTTTTTTCACTTACCTTTGGTGCGGGAGAGCAGCAGCGAGTCAGGGCTGGTCCAGTGGGAGGAGCTCTAGGTGGGGTCCTAATTTAGCTGGCCGGCGACTACCAGAGGATCCCGACACGCGCGGCACCTCAGGCAGTCGCCGGCCAGCTAAATTAGGACCCCACCTGGAGCTCCTCCCACCGGAACAGCGCTGACTCGCCGCTGCTCTCCTGCGCCGAAGGTAAGTGAAAAAAAAAAACCATAGCGCAAACATCGGGGCATTTTGACAAGTACAAGTACTTGTCAAAATGCCCTGTTTTTACAGGGGGTCGAGGAGGGGGCGCAAAAATTCACCTTGCCTGTGTAGGCAGGAATCCTAGCACAGGCCCTGCTTCCAATATGGGGACGGAATCATAACTTGGTTTAGCCGAGAGCAAGCAACTGTTGTACTTTCCTCAACTGAAGCTGAATACATAGCAGCAGCATACACATGTCAAAAGCAATATGGATTTGCAAGCTTTTAATGGACCTTAGATTGTAAGCTCCTTGAGGGTAGGGATTGATGTGAATGTGTAACTATGTAAAGTGCTGCGTATATTGTCGGCGCTGTAGAAATGGCTGTAATAAATAAATGACTCATCAGAAGAAATTACTGCTGATGCACTCACCAAGCCATTGCCAAAGGATCGTCACAGTTTCCTTCAAGAGAAGCCAAACGTCATATAGCAACACATGCTGTTGAGAAGGGGTGTTGTAAATTCAACAGCATATACTGATTGTATTACTGATTGCAATTTGTGTTTTGAGCTGTAGATGGTGCTGTAGTGCAATGCTAGTCTCTATGTTCATGCTTATCTATGACCACACAATGCAATTTCATGCAGTTTAAAGCCGATTTCACACTATGTGAATCCTAAATCTCCCTTTCAGATGCAGCCACTATCACCCATTCAAGTAAATGACTGGGTGACAGCGGCCGCATATATAAGCTGCAATCCACATGTAATTGTATGTGATAACATTACATGCAGTTTGGAATAGATTACTGTCCCTGGACGCAGGATTGGTGCATCCAGGACAGTGATCTATTCCAACTTAAATGTCAGAGAACGCATCTTAACAGGAGTTTTTGGATTCCTTGATGCAGGAATTCGTACGTTTCTGTCACAGGAATCCAAAATCGCATAGTATGAATGTAGCCTTACAGTGAATTTACCACCAAGCATGCGGGGACTAGTAATATAATGCAACAATCTCTCTAGGAGTATAAATTCTTAGCTTAGTACACAGAAGGACACTTATTTTTATAAGTTAATATCCCAAGGTGGGCAGGGCATAAAAATATGTACAGAGGTAGTGATCAGGTAGGGCTTGGTGTGAATGCAGTTCACCTAAGTTCGCCAAAGCCTGGCCAAAATGAACCAACATCCCCCCCCACTGGCCCAATCAGTTGCGGGGTGGTGATTCCCTGACCCACAGATATACGTCACAAAGGGGCGGGGAGTGCCCTGCAACTGCTGACACAGGTTGAGTTGGGAGCAGGGAGTGGCAGAGTTCTGGGCAGGCTTGGGTGAACTCAGGCAAAATGGGTTTGCACCAAGCCTAGCTACCTCTCTATACAGAGGTCAAAATGATTTTTTTTTAAGGCATTTGGCTACTTGCTATGAAATAAAAAGGAAGGAAAATCAGAAATAAACTTTGCTGTTCTGGGCAGTATGGTTTATCCAGCTGGTGGGAGAACACCAGAAGTTCTGGCATTCTGCTTTGTTACAGTTAGTCAGGTTGAAAAAAGACACAAGTCCATCGAGTTCAACCTATAGAGAACTCTATAGGTTGAAGAATAGCTCTGGATGAATAACCATGTCGGCAAAGCTCGGCGGCATTCGGCTATTCACTTACTGCCGTTTGGACCCTACGAGAATAGGGGAGAATGGCAGCAAGTGAGCTGCCGGAGCTTCGGCTCAGCCGACCTAGATGTTGGATCGGCTGAGTTGAACTCCTTCTGCACTTCTGCATGTTCGGCTGACCGAAGGCAGCCGATGTACAGCTGATTTTAGCTGATGTACGTCTGAAATCAGCCGTACAAGGCTGAAGTAAATACCCGTATGTCGTTCTGCTCACTTCACTTCGGCTGGGTTATCCACTCGGCTGACTTCTGCAGCTAAGTGAATAGCCAACCCCCTTAGTTTTTTTGGGATTCGGTTCCGAATGTCAATTTGTTTTGGGATTCGGAGAAATCTGACATTTTCATTAATTTGGGATGAGTTAAATGATATATACGAATGAATTTTCCTTGCAGCAAAGTGAAATTTAAAAACTGATCGCTGAGTGTTTGTGTCCTGCTCTCCTCTCTGTCACGCACTGTGATAGGAGGCTGAGCGAGCGGTGCGGGAGGAGAGCCTAGCCTCCTGTGACAGCGCTGTCTCTGCCCCCACACCGCTCTGCCGCACTGTGATAGGCGGCCGAGCGGTGTGGGTGGAGAGACACCGGCTGCTCACAGCGCTCGGCCAGCTGTCACTTTCTCTCCTCCCTGCTGGGACACAGAGCAGCGCCCAGCGCAGAGGAAAGAAACCAGGGATGTCTCCACACTGCATGCAAAGCGGCGCGGAGCAAAGCTATGAGTCGCGGACATTTGCATAGTGTGTGAGAGCAGCGCAGCCAGATGAAAGATTGCATCTTCTGCGTAATAACTCTGCATCCTGACGAGTAGATTGGCTGAAGATGACATTTTTCATCTCGGCACGCTCAGCTATGCGAGCTCTTGCACGCTGACACGCCGAGGTAATAATTACAAAACACACTGCACACGAAGGTCCATGTGCTGCCGCTCTGCGCTGCTTCATGTGCAGTGTGTCACGGGCTTAAAGCGGACTCAAAAATCAAATTGTACCAATGCATCCCTCTATGTATGATGATTAATAATAACATAGACATGTCAGGTGTAAAATGTTGTGATTTAGAAATACTTACACTTGCAGAGCATTCACTTCCTGCTTTGAAAGTGCAAATGATTTCAGTTTGCCAATGCAATGCACACTGGGATCGCCTTGTCATCAGAAGAACATTGCTGGGAAATCTCATCTGTAATCTCATGAGATCTCAGGGAAAGGAATTTTACTCCCCAGAGATGATGTGCATGGTCACATGGTCTAGTCACATGCCAGTAATCCAGGAAGTAATAGGATTAATCTGCCTTTAGTAAACATGGCCACTGTCAGCAGACCGGGAAATAAAAGAGAAATAAAGTATGTAAATAATTCAAAGCCGGCAATTATCTAGAAGTATGTGTTTGTAGATTGTCATTACTAAACATTTTTAAAGGTGTGTTTGTTGTTATTTTAAAGATATTGGTAAAGGTGCGCTTTAAGAACTTCACAGTGCAGCCATACTGGTGCTACAAAGTGCTACAAAACCTTTTCTCAAAAATCTTCAATGTCTTCCTACACATACAGATGTGGACAAACTTGTTGGTACCCTCACAGTTCATGGAAATAAATGCTTTGTTCCTTCTAAAAAAAGTGATAACATTATAAGGACATATTTCTTATGTATACCTACATGCCTTTTGTATGTTAGAGTAAAGCAAAGAAAATGTCAAAAGATATAAACTGCTGCTTATTCTATAAACATGTTCTAAAAGTAGACTGGACAGGTTTGTTGGTACGCCCAGAAAGATTATAAATAATTACTATCACACACTTCTTCAGCCTTGTTATCAGTCAGCCAACCTATTTACTGTTAATGGAGAAAAGCAGTCACTCCCTGCTTGGTATCACTGCATGCACCATATTGAACATGGATCAGAGAAAGCAAGGGAGAAAATCGTCTAAATGGATCAGAAAGAAAATGATAGACCAGAATGCCAATGGTAAAGACCATCTACAAGCAGGTTGATGCTCCTGTGACTAAAGTTGCAAATATTATTAGGAACAGTAAGGTCCTCAGTATTGTAGCAAACCTCCCTGGACGTGGCCACAAGAGGGAAATCTACCCCAGTTTGAATAGAAGTATAGTGCGAATAGACATATAGACAAAGAGCCATGGAAAGCTTCCAGAGAGACACAAAATTAACTTCAAAGTCCATCAGTGTCTGATTGCACCATCTGTCTTTTTTGTGAGATAGTGGGCTCCAATAACTCCACTGTTGAAAGAAAAAACTAAGAAACCAATTTTCTATAATGGGAGCTCCTAATATACTTCACTACCACAAGTAGTGGTACACGACCAGCTGAGATATTGGTGGTTACCCTCCAGGGATAAACAATGGATGCAAATAGAGCAAGCTGAGCTAGGCCTCGGTGACCTGCAAGGACCACTTGGGGTTCCACCCTCCACCATCACATCTTTTTACAGTTACCGCTACCCTCAAGGTCTGGAAGTCACGTCTCCATAAACGTTCCTGCCGACAAATGGACCCAGTGGCATCACTTCCTCTGACCACCCTGGAACTTTTCACCTCTGACCTGTTACTTCACCTAATGCGAGCTGGACATCTCTAGCTTCATTTTCATTTGTTTTATAATTCAAATATTCTACTGTATCAAAAATCAAAAGCAAAATCTGATTTGATTAAATATGGAACAAACAATGTCAATTACTTTGGTCATTTTGAAGTTACTTCAGAGAAAGTAATACATCTGTATTCGCTGTAGCCATTTATTACACTTTAAAGTCCATACTCTGCTTGTCCCAGCAGATGAATTAAAAATACAGCTAAAATGGTCTCTTTTGTATCTCCCCATTTGCGTATCCATAATTACAGAAACATAGGAGAGCTGTAGACAATAGGGCTTACATTTTCTCTATGGTATATAACAGATCTCTGGTCCACATAATCCCTGTGAGAAACTCTCCCCACTACCACACCAAATAGTAAATACATGGAATGGTGCAGATGGATCCATCTTCTTTTTTTCTTGCAAAAACGATGAGTGCAGGGGCGTAACTATACGTCACAGGGCCCCATAGCAAAATTTTGTATGGCCCCCCCCCATATGCCCCCCCCCGCAAACACCCCCCAACCAACGGGCTTCTTCTCTTCAGCTCTGCTCCACTCCGCTGCTACTTTGCTGCCAGGGCCGGATTAAGAGCATCATGGACCTGGTGCTGAAGATTTTGGTGGGCCTTTTTATAGAAATGTCAGTGGTCACCGGTCTGGGCTGTGAATTGTAGTCTCTCTACATCTTGGAGTCAGTAGTGGATCCGGGCCCAGTTGCAGTTGCGACCCTGGTTCTGCCACTGACGCCAAGCTGTAGAGGGACAACAAATCTCAACAATACATTATACAGCAATGCAAAATAATACCACCAACTACAGGTGAAACTCGAATAATTAGAATATCGTGCAAAGTTCATTTATTTCACTAATGCAACTTAAAAGGTGAAACTAATATATGAGAGAGACTCATTACATGCAAAGCAAGATAGTTCAAGCCGTGATTTGTCATAATTCTGATGATTATGGCTTACAGCTCATGAAAACCCCAAGAACCCCAAATCCACAACCTCAAAAAATGAGAATATTACATGCAATCAATAAAACAAGGATTGTACATAGAACAATATCGGACCTCTGAAAAGTACAAGCATGCATATGTACTCAGTACTTGGTTTGGGCCCCTTTTTCAGCACTTACTGCAATTACTTTTGCACAATATTCTAATTATTCGAGTTTCACCTGTATAGAGGACTAAAAATCCAAGCAATAAATTAAACAGCAATGCAGAATATCGCCAACTATGGAGGATTACAAATCCCAGCAATACATTATACAGCACTGCAGAATAATTCCATCAGCTGAGGATTACAAATCCCAGAAACACATTATACAGTAATACAGACTAATATGAAGCTACATACTCTGTGTTGCTCTGGGTTCATGCCTTCATGTCTCCAGGGTCTCTGAAGGCTGTGTGGGCTCTCAGGTGGCTAAAGTGGGCTCTCAGGTGGCCAGTGCGGGCTCTCAGGTGGTCGGTGCGGGGTTAATGGCATCTGTACGTCTCTCAGGTGGTCTGTGCAGCGTTAATGGTGGCTGTGTATGTCACAGAAAGTGCAGTATTGTATCCAACACTGGGATAGAGAAATAGACTAAAATAGGGAACATTTACAGTGTAATGTTTCCTATTATAATCCATTTCTCAAATTAAATTAAATTACAGCACACTGTGTGCAGCGTGCAGTTTCTGGGTGCTCCCCCCCCCCCCCTTTCCCCCACCC